GGCAAAGACTAGGATAGAGAAGCCTTAATGGAAGGCTTCTAAAGAGATCAGAATAAGAAATCCCAGGATTAAGGAGCTAATTTAGGATACTGTAAATTCAATGGGGAAGAGTCATGGTTAATACAGGTTCCTAAAGTTTTTCTGAGTGGTATCCTGCTCATCCTGAGTCCTACGGTAAATACTTCCCAGAGCCAGGTGAGTAGATACGGTCCAGGTGGACAGCAAGTCAGTATAAACTCTGTAGTCTAGGTAATAGTTCTCTGACTCCCGGATTCAGCTGTTTTGTCTATTCAGTCAAGTCAAAAGCACATATTAAGCATTGACTATGTGTATAGTGTATCAGCTAGAGTTCAAATGAGAGTTAATGTGTGTGGATTTGAAAAATTGACCTACTTTTTTTTTCAATAAACATCTATTGAGCATCTATTATGTTCCAAGCAGGAGGGTCTGTAAGCTCCTTGAAACAAGGTGTCACACGTGCCTTGGTCCCTGCTGTATCCCCAGCATTTCCTTAGTCTATTGCCTGACGCATGACAGACACTCAATGAATAAAGTTTGAAAGATGACAACAGATAGACATGGGAGACAGATGTACATAAATGTACATAAAATAATAAGGCTATATTGTAAATACTATAGAATATGAACAAATTATGGTATGATCTAAGAAGAAATTAACTCCAGCTAGAGAAACTGGGAGAACTTCATGGAGGAAAGAATATCTTTGAAGTGAGACTTGAATGAAAGGTAGAAATTTGACAATTTGAAGGCAAAGGAAGGTATTCTCATTATTATACACCAGGAGCAGGAAAGTTACATGCTGTTAGGAACTGGGTAGTCAACATCCATGAGAGAGGCAGACTGGGTAGGGGGTTGAGGAACCTGTGAGCACAAGCCCCACCTAACAGGAGTAGCCACTCAGCTGCTGCTAATTGTTGTTATGTGGGACTGAGGAGTCCAGGTGGCCAGAAGGACCAAGTTTCCAACAGAAGCCAGAAATCTGGACTGTTCTGTAAGATCTCTATGTTTTACTATTGCAAGTAATTAATATCAAGAGACTTATGCTGGCCCCATCTTTGTGACTTGTATTTTTATTGTTACATCTTGGATAAACTGAGCTCTCCCCATTGAGATAATCTGTTCCTTGCTTCAGGATTAATAGATTTTCATTGAAATAATGTAGAAATTCCTATTGTATCATTATCTATATTTATTAATGCATAAATTGCATGTGAAAAGAGTAAGCTTAAAATTAGAATCTTCTATTTTGAATGACCCTGTAAGATAAGAATTATTAGTTAACATTTTGCATTTTTGCCCTTTAAGAAAGGTTAACCATAATATTTTAAGCCTCAGTCTGCTTTTTAAACAGAACCTTGTCTTAAAACTTTTAAGAATTTAGATTTACTTGCCTTTTAGGAAGTTCTTAATAAGCTAATAAGCCATTGTATAACACAGGGATACGTTGTGAAGATTATATATTACAGACAAGGAAGGGCTTTCCTAAATATGATAAATAACATAAAATCTTTTAACCTTGTCTTTTGTGCACAAAGGCACCTTTAAGGGTGTCTCCAGTAAGTGCTATATTAACACAGAAGTTTAGTTAATTACAGCCACTATTCTCACGTACCTTAACCAAGTGTGAATACCAAGCAATCTCATAGTGTGCCCCAGAGCATTAATACCTAATGAAATTGGATTCCTTGTTTCCTCTAATGAGCTCATTGCTTTTCTAAATATGGTCATTGCAGGTAAATGATCAATAGCCTTGAAAATGACACCACTGCTGGATTATTTTGCCAAGAGACTCTTTTTTTAGTGTATATATCTCAGGTTCCTTTCTAAAGAAGCTCATATGTAATGAGAAATACCACGGTGGGTTGGTTGGCTTGTTTTAGTGGCTGTTAGACAGCAGGAACTGTGGACAGTCACTGTTCAATTGTAGAGCAGTGATTTCAAGTCTGCATAACCTGGCTCAAGTTGGAATAAACTGGATGCAGTATGCTCCTGTTAATTGAGAGACTGAAGGGCAATAAGCTATGAGAAGGCCTGTTTTCTATTATGGTATAATAGTTCCCTACCAATCATCTCTACTGTATTTGTTTCCTACGGCTTCCATAACAAATTACCACAATTTGGTGGCTTCACACAAGAGAAATTTATTCTCCAAGTTCTGGAGGCCAGAGGTTTGAAGGCAAGGTGTTGACAGGGTTGCACTCCTTCTGAAGTATCTAGAGGAGAATCCATCCCTTGCATCTTCCAGCTGCTGGGGGCTGTCGGCATTCCTTGATTTATGGCCACATCACTTCCAATTTCTGCCTCTGTGGTCACATTGCCTCCTGCTCTATGTAGTCTCTCATCAAGACACCTGTCATCAGATTTGGGGCCCACCCTCGTAATCCAAGATGATCTCCTTATCTCAAGATCCCTAACTTCGTTACATACGTAAAGTCCCTTTTTCCAGTAAAGGTCACAAACATAAGTTCTGGGACTTAGGACATGGACATCTTTTGGGGGGCCATCATTCAACCTATTATATATACCTTTCTTCTCTTATATAACCCTTAGTAATGTTGAACACAGTCACTATTCAGGTTGTTATAATGTTTAAGTACTTTACTAAGATCATTTATGAGCAAATCATTTATATTATGTGTTTGTAATTTTGATTCTCATAACTATCTTAGCACCATTTCCTTTATACAAATAAGACTGAGGCTCAAAAAAAGTAAGATCTTGCCCAAGGATACAACACACGTAATTAGTATCAACTTAGATTAAATGTCTATTACTTTTTTTCTTTTTTTTTTTTATTAACATATAATGTATTATTTGTTTCAGGGATACAGGTCTGTGATTCATCAGTCTTACACAATTCACAGTGCTCACCATAGCACATACCCTCCCCAATGTCTATCACCCAGCCACCCCATCCCCCCGTCCACCTCCCCTCCAGCAACCCTCAGTTTGTTTCCTGAGATTAAGAGTCTTTTATGGTTTGTTTCCCTCTCTGGTTTCGTCTTGTTTCATTTTTCCCTCCCTTCCCCTATGATCCTGTCTTGTTTCTCAAATTCCTCATATCAGTGAGATCATATGATACTTGTCTTTCTCTGATTGACTTATTTCACTTAGCATAATACCCTCTAGTTCCATCCAAAAGTCTATTACTTTTTTAACCATTGCTTAACTTGCATGCATATCTAACTTGAGATGTTCACATCCTTCTTTAGAAATTGATACGTTAAATTTCACAAGGTGGACCTTCTTTGTTAAATTTTTGGTCCCTGTGTTTCCTTAGGCAGATAATATTCCCAAACTCCAAAACATCCCTTCAGATTTAACCTTAGGAGGAGTAAGCCAAAGTGAGGTTCTGTAGAATAATAGCCATAGGATGATGTTAAAGTTAGGGCTTAACACTTCACTCAAAGCTATCTTCCAATTTCCAATGCTAGCCTGAAATGAATTTGGAATTTTTTTTAAACGGGTTTTTAAGTATACTGCAGTGCTTAAGACCAAACACACAGACAGCTGCATTTGAGTCCTATCTCCTCCACTTATTAACTATGCTTTCTTGGGGTTATCACTTACTTTTCCTGTGCCTCATTCTCCTTATTTGTAAAATAGCTGAGAATAATTGATATCTCACGGGATCCTTTAAGGAGTAAGTGAGATCATCATATACTTAAGTAGTAACTGCTTCATAGTATAGACTCCATGTAGATTTTTAAAATTATTACCAATTAAGAGTATTTTACATATAAAGTGGTAATAGAAGCACATTAAAATTTGTGGTTGAGTGGCAAGCAGTGCAATTTTATCTGGCTCACAACACAGCTTCAAGGCAGAACACAGAGCAGAGAGTTTCAAAGCACAAATATTCCCTGATACGGTTTGCTTTTGCAGATCAAAGTGTTCTATGTTCCTTCTTTCTTTCTTCACACCAGTTATGATCTCCCTGCTTTTGCATTTCTCTTCCCACTTTGTTGTTTATTCTTTCTTTAAGGAAAAAACTTAAGTTTTTCTTTTCCAAGATAATTCTTGGTTAAATTTTACTAAAGTATTCCCAGAATTCCCAGGTAATGTGAATCTGTAATTGAATCAAGACAAACAATCATATTAGCTCTGTTCCATATGCATGAGCTGTGTCAGGAATATTTGAAACTATTTTCCGTTGGCATGTTTACAATTTTAAGAAATCTATTGTGACTTGCAGCTTATAGATAAAGCAGGGAAAGGCTGAGGACACTGGTATCTTTGAGCTCTAGGTGCACACTTAGAATCACCAGCACAGAGTTTCTAAGTAAAAGTGGTTTACGGCTGTCAGATTGTATGAAGTTAATTCTTAATTTGTTCACATCCATCTCATAGCTTAAACATTTGTAGTGTGTCAGTGGAGCAAGGAGGAAGAAGTTGTGGGTCTTCATATTTGATTTACCGTTTTCTTTAGGTATAGCTTTCTTTGGCAATTATTGTAAATTTATGAACTTCATATATAATAACAACTTTCTTCATGGAACTCAGTGTTTATGGTGAGCAAAAATTAATGTACATTCTTAACAGACTCAGGATGTCAAAGTTAGCATCCATTGTTGGACTGATTATTGATTGATTGATTGATTGATTGATGAACAAATGTCAGCACAGGAAAGCCAAGAACTGTCTCCATGTTAAACTGCGACTCCACGATGGAACCAGCCACAAACATTTGCATATATGTAATTGTGATTTTACCTATGTTGAGCACCACACCCCCTGCCCGCGGCCCCAACCCCCCAGTCAGGAAGTGAATTCATTTCCCTGTGGGGAAAGCCTTTAGCTATTAGTGCTTAAGGGAAAATACCCTAAAACACTGTGTTTGTTGTAAATGAAATTCCGATCACGCTTGCAGCCCCTGACTTTACTATCAAACGCACAACAGCCAAGGTCTTCCTTTGATCGAGGGGAGCTGGAGGGTGTCTGCGCGAGTCGTTTCACATGGTGTCTTCTCCAACATCTAGGTGAGCACAAAATGCCGAGGCCTCTGGTGGGAGTGTGTCACGAATGCTTTTGATGGGATCCGCACCTGCGACGAATACGATTCCATCCTTGCCGAACACCCCCGTATGTATGCGTAGACAACCCCTTTGCCAGGGACGGGGTACCAAACAACGCTGAACTTGGGTTTCCATTGCGTATTTTTATTTTCTACCGTCTATGGTAAAGTTCTGTCTAATTTTAGATGTTTCGATTAAAACATTTAGTTTACTTCAGAAATGTGAATTGAAACATCTCGAGCATATTTTATCTTTTTCCATGTATTTATACATTCCTTTAAGGTAAAAATATTAACTTATTCATCTCTGCTCTCCCAAAGGGCCTGGCAGAATGTCTTACACAAAGTAGACTTAAACACTTTTTAAATTGAAATGAATTCTTCAGGGTGTTGTGATTTGAGGATTAGAATCCACAGATTAGATGAAAAGTATTTCAGAGATGTCTTTTAGCTGTGACCTAAGTCAAATAAGAAGTTTACAGTAATTCAACGGGAGATTTTCTGAGAAAGAGAGAAGGTGAAGTAGAGGGGCAGAGACAGAGAAACAGAAAAACAGACATGGAGATAGATAGGTAAAGAGAGACACACAGACAGGGATCAGGGAATGAAAAAAAATCAGTGTACACAGGGTTAGCAGGTAGGGTAGAACCAGCTCCTTCATCTTCCCGACCTTTAGCTTTAAATTTTAATCAGGTATTAGCAAGACCCACGTTTCTATGAAATAAAGAGATTTCGTAAATTAAAAGTGTTGTCATTGATTCTCTCAGTTTTTCTCCATAGCGTTTATTTATTTATTTAGAGCATCCAGTCATGCCAAGAAATACGGGTGCTGTTGTTAAAGCTAATTGGTTTCGGTCTCCTTCAAAGCATAAGATGAGGTATAGCAGAGAATGGCAATTTCTTTTCTCAAGATAAATGAAAAGCAAACCCTGGGAATGTGACTTTTCCCCTCGACAGCTAGTTCAGTCCAGGGATAAGCACTTAAAAGGAGCAGTGGTTGAAAATATCTTCTGCTATTCAGGATTTGAGTGTTCTTTAATCTAATTCCTAAGGCCCATATTTCATTTTCTTTAGGGCCTCTTAATTCTTTCTCTTTTACCCTCCTTGGGCTAACCTAATTCTACCTACAAAGAAGCATGATTTGGTCAATAAGAGTGTAAGTTTATGTGGACACTAGGCTATTCCAGAAATTTAGTCCTATGGTGAGAGCAAGAAAAAAAAAAAAATTCAAACTTCTAAATATTGTTATGTACATTTATGCAAGAATAACAGAAAATCACTCATAAGCTTACAGCACAGAGAAAACTGCTGTTTATATTTTAATATTTCTTTTTTTAATCATTTGCCTATACTATCTCAGCTTTTTAAATATATTCTTACCTATTAATTTCAAATAATATGCTAAAGATTCATTACTTTTATTTAAAAAATTCTATCATATGCTTAGACACAACAGAGATGAAACTATTCTAAGAAAATAACATAACTATGCCCTCTAAGTTAGGATATTACCTGTGAGATTTCAGTTTTAGTTTTTGGTATCTTTTATAGAATCACAATTTGATAACTTTTTCCATTGTTCTGTAGACCTAGGGTATACAGACCCAGACAATTTTTTTTTCAGGACTCTTGTTGAATACTCTGTCCCCAAATCAGAATATTTAACATTATTCTAGCAGCCAGATCTCAGACAATTTCCAGAAAGAAATTCCTGGCGGTTAGCATTAGCCATCTGCCTGTAGAGCTGCCCTCTTGGAACTGGGCTGGCCATGGGGCTGACTGGATGACACCATAGGCATGAGTCTGGGAGTTCCACAGAGCATCAGAAATCACACTCTGGGGGCCCCTGGGTGGTACAGTCAGTTAAGGTTCGACTTTGGTTTTGGCTCAGGTCTCAATCTCAGGGTCTTGGGATTAAGCCTCATGTTGGGCTCTGAGCTCAGCAAGGAGTCTGCTAAAGTTGCTCCTTCCCTCTCCCCCTGCCTCTCCCTGTTCTCTCCCTCTCTCACAAATAAAAAAATAAATAAATAAAATAAATCTAAGAAAGAGAGAAAGAAAGAAAAAAAAAGGAAGAGAGAAAGAAAGAAAGAAAGAAAGAAAGAAAGAAAGAAAGAAAGAAAGAAAGAAAGAAAGAAAAAGAAAGAAAGAAAGAAAGAATCACACTTTGTATGGGATTAAGTGTTGGAGAGGGGAAAACCAGGGCCATGATTTTAGGGCATCCCATCCAGATAGCAATCCTGGCCTTGTTGGACCCAGGTTCTAAAAGGGGACTTAAAAATGTTTAAGGAAGGCACTCCAAAGTGTGGAACTGCTTGGTTTGGGGTGCTGAGTAGGAAACCCACTTGTATATATTATTTGAGGTTCAAGAAGATTGTTGAAATATAAAAACTGTTATCACCTAGTTACATATTTTTCTCTTTCCGAAATAGGCTTTCGATTTGGCCTAAATTAGAAATTTAAGTCTAAATTGTTTGAAATAATGCCACATTTTAAGATCTTAAATATTCACCTATTAATCAGGTAGAAGTTGGGGCTCCTGGGTGACTCAGTCAGCTAAGTGACTGATTCCTGATCTCAGCTCAGGTCTTGATCTCTAGGTTGTGAGTTCAAGACCCATAATGGGCTCGACACTGGGCATGGAGACTACTTAAAAAAAAAAAAAAAACAAAACAGGTAGAAGCTGATTTTATGCATCGATTTCCTCTCTTAGATGGATCATAAAAGTATTTTTTAAAAGATTTTATTTATTTATTTGAGAAAGAGAGTGAGCAACAGAGAGAGCACAAGCTGCAGGGAGAGACGGAGGGAGAAGGAGAAGCAGACTCCCTGGCAAGCAGGGAGCCCAGTGCAGGGCTTGATCCCAGGACCCTGGGACCATGACCTGAGCTGAAGGCAGACGCTTAATTGACTGAGCCATCCAGGTGACCCAAAAGTATTTTTTTATTTTAAATAAATTGGCCACCTTTTATAAGCAACCTATTGCTAAATAAACCCTAAATTTATCTTACCACTGAGGAAAAATTATTTAAAATGCACGGAAACCAAAATCACTATGAAAATAAAACATAATTACTGTACTATCAAAAAAATAAATCGTGTCACTCCTCTAGTGGCTAAAATAGTAGTAGCTTTGACATAGGATAATTAACTTTCCATTTGTGACAAAATTTTCCTATTTTTATTTTTTTAATTTATATTTTAAAGATTTTATTTATTTCATAGAGAGGGAGCATGAGAGAGAGAGATCACGAGCAGTGGGGAGAGGTAGAGGGAGAAGCAGACTCCCTACTGAGCAGGGAGCCCAATACTGGACTCTTTCCCAAGACCAAGATCATGATCTGAGTGGAAGGCAGACACCTAACTGACTGAGCCACCAGGCGCTCAAAATTTAGCATTACTGGGAGTCACAGCTCAAGAGGTTTTCATAGTTGAGGATGCTTCCATTGCAGATGATGACGGCTACTATTCCATTCTGTTTACCCTATATCCTCTTCCCTGGACCTTATATCATATACTCTCATGTGGCCATAGTTTTCAATTTTGCTCAGTTGGCAGTGCAAGGTTAAAGGGTTAATATGGAATGTCGGCCAAGAAGGGTCACCACCTGAAGCAATGAAAAAGAATATGACCTGGCCTCTAGATATAGTTTTCTACTAAATAACAGAAGCTCCTTCTCCTAAAAACCTGCTGATGGCTCCCATCAGCCTGAATTGGCAAGTGACATATTGAAGTATTTTATCCTGCTCCCCTATACCAAATTTTAACCAGTTATCAAAAGTATATTTTTTTTCAATAGACCTTCAAACAAATGGCAGTGATCAGTAATTTCTTAAATATTTATTGGGATAACTTCTGCAGAAGAGATAGTCTACTTTGATTCAGTATTCACTTATAATACTTGTGAACAAGACTCATTCTAAAACAGGAAACAAACAAGGAAACAGTTACTTAGTCCACACTATATGCCAGGCATTTTGATAGGGGGCCAGCAAGACTAAGTAATAATCAGTGCTTAAACAAATAATAATATCAATAATCTATGATATTTTTGCATTTTATGAAAACATTCTATGTTCATGCAAATTTGAAGTCTAATTCTCACAGTGGGTGTGTATTAATGTATGTGATTATCTGTTTTGGGGTGCACCTGTGTGCCTTCACATGTTTCCTTCCTCTGACCACAATGTAACCACATGCCCTGATCTTCCAGTGAAGCTGGTGGTAACTCGAGCATTGATGATTACTGCAGATATTCTAGCTGGATTTGGATTTATCACCCTGCTTCTTGGTCTTGACTGTGTGAAATTCCTCCCTGATGAGCCATACATTAAAGTCCGCATCTGCTTTGTTGCTGGAACCATTTTACTAATAGCAGGTACTCTCTGCAGTAGTGGTGGGGTAGAGGAGCACATCTATGGTCTTGAGATGAAGGAGAAGGGTGCTTGTTGTCAAGCAGTTCAATTTAGGAACATATGTGACCTGCTTTTCTAGATTGGAGGAATAAAGAGCACATCCCCCAACCCTACTTACTTCAGATATGGAATCAAATAATTAATTTTTGTTAATATCCTGGAGCAAAGTTTATCGAAGTCCTCAAACTACTTTTTAACCATTTAAAAAAGTTATATAATGATCTAAATTTTTCAAATAATTTATTTTTTGATTATTCCTGAAGTTAAATCCTCAGGTATGTCCCAAAGCACCACCTCCTTACCTGTACCCACTCCCACCAATTCTTTTTAGCAATGAACTTAATTGTGCCAAGGCCTATGTTAGAGTTTTCTCATGTGCCAGGCCATTTGATCATAAATGTAACAATAAGCAGATTATATCTCCACTTAGGAAGCAGATGAATAAATGGAGTCCTGAAGGCTAATAAATCAAGCATGACTAATAAACAGTCAAGAAGCACTTTACATGGTGTTTATTGATGAAAGAGCAAGGTCTGTCATTAAATTCAGTTTAGTCTTCCTCTGTCACAACATGATGTCTTCTTAGGATCTTAATGCAAGTTGGGAGAAAATACACTGTCAAAGAAATCAAAGTGCAGGAAGATCGAAAACCAGTGGGCACACCCCTCAGAGAGAAAACCATCATTTTCTTACGGTAGCAGCCAAAAGTTAGCGAAGCACATGCTCATGGGAACATCAACAGGCAGTACAAGAGGAATGGATAGGGATTTGGGAACTAAAAATGCTTGGAGGGGCGCCTGGCTGGCTCAGTAGGTAGAGCATGTGATCTTGAGTGGTGAGTTGGAGCCCCATGTTGGTGGTAGAGTTTACTTAAAAAAAATAAAAAAATAAAATAAATAACGTGGAGATATATACGTGTGATGTGTGAGTTAAACAACTGGCCTCCTTTTCTTGATCTGCAAAATAAGGTAAAGCCCCAGTAATATTATCTACCCTGAATTGCTGTCATGAAGATCCAGTGTGGGTAGAGTAAGCACGTAGCAGAGAGCCTAAGCCATCACACAGTCAAAACTGGGGCTTCCCTGAAGTTTTACACACACACATTGAGTCAAGGCCTGATGATCCTTAGGTTGTATTAAAAAGTCACAAGAACTTACTAAGTTTTCCTTTTTAAGACATTTATTCCCATGTCCTGCCTAGTAATAACATAGAGCTTTTGTATATAACAATGTGTTTTATTTAACAAATTTAAATATCATTTAATGCTATACAATTTTGCTCCAGAATACTTCTTGAAATATCACTAGATATACCATTTTTTATAAAAAAACAAAACAAGCTAAATTAAAACAAAAACAAAGAAACAACGAATTGATGAAAAAAATCCCTATAGGAATGGATGAAGAAATGACAAAATTAAATTTCCAGAGATGGCCAAAGGCTTGGAACCATCATTTGAAACTAGTATGCCATATATATTATATATAAAATACTAATTTTATGTATAAAATACTAATGCCATACATATGATATGTTACTTATAAATATTTATGGCATACTATTTTCATATGGTATGAAATATATACATATTTCATATATATTTATCTATGTGTGTGTATATATATAATTTTCCATAATCTGCAAATTTCATAAAGGAATTTCCATCTTAAACTCATAGATTGCAATATTGTAGAAAATATGTGGTAATTTAAACCATTATCTGAAGGTTTTATGTTCATGATCTGGTCCTTCTTAAAGTTCTTGCATTAAACAATTGGGAAAAGAATGCAATGAAATGGTGAACACTATTTTCACATAGCCTTTGTCCCATAGTTCACCACCTTTTTCCCTTGCATCTAAGCAATGACGTGCAATTTATACCTTTAAAGTGAGAGGACTCTAGTGGCATCATTTCAAGCCAGTCCAATTATCAGATAGACTAATTCTGGGGATTAAGTTTTGTTTAAAAGGAACAAAATTTCTTAGCTCATTCTTACATGGTGTGGGGGTGGTAGATAAGAATTTATTTTATAATAAAGACAGTTTTTACTCCAGTTATTTGTTTTTGACCCCTACACACTAAAATTATTGACTTCAAAAGCATAGTTTCCTTATGGGTGTTAATTATGTAGCTGACATAACTTTAATCGTGGGTCTAGGTGGTGGGACAGAGGAGAAATAGAATATCCTTAAAGACATATACTTTTAATTAAAAATCAATAGAGGATGAACATATGCTGTATATTATTTGTCTTCGATTTTGTGTTCTTTCTTTTGTTTTTCATATTTCGTTTTACACAGCCCTTAAGAAAACATTGGAAAGAGGGAAATTAAAGAAAACCACAATGACCATTTTAAGTCTACACACACAGAGGAACACTGCATTGTTTAATCTTTGTATTTCTCTTTATGTATAAACTTATATATAGTTTAGAAGAGATACAAAATAGAAAGCAAAAGGAAGACATAGAAGAGGTATCCAAAATTTGAGTTGTCCATAAATCCATAGAATCATTATTATCCCTCTAAATGATGCCAAGCATTTTGGGTAGCGGTCAGATCTCCTTGAATCTAAATTTGGAAAGGCCTGCATTATTTTTAGCAACTTTCCTTTCTTTCAGGTGCCCCAGGAATCATTGGTTCAGTGTGGTATGCTGTTGATGTTTATGTGGAACGTTCTTCTCTGGTTTTGCACAATATATTTCTTGGCATCCAATATAAATTTGGTTGGTCTTGTTGGCTTGGAATGGCTGGGTCTCTGGGTTGCTTTTTGGCTGGTGCTGTCCTGACATGCTGCTTATACCTCTTCAAAGGTAAGAACAAAATAAAATAACACACTTACTTGCCACCTGTATCAATCTTCCTAGCCCGATGGAAACAGATCTCACCAACACAAAATAATGTTGCTTACTTGATCCCTACCTATTATAAAAAAATGACACTTTAACAATTTCTGTTGTTCAAGGACAACTGATTTGCAATAATCATGTCTTATTAGCTGATTAGTGGTATATTGGGTGGAAAAAACAACAACAACAAACAAACCCACAGTTATAGCTATATCCAACATTTAAATATAAAATGATGATTTCAGTATTTTCAGAATTTTATATATCTAACTTTATCCAATCTACTAAATTTATATCTAGAGTTAAATAGAGAAGTAGACTGAGAGCCAAGTCAAATACTTGTTGTTGAAAAATGTAATGTGTTACTATTGGGTTTTTAAAAATATCACTTAAAAAGCAAGAGAATCTATCTCCTCATCAAAAAGAAAGAGAGAAAGAGGAGAGAGAGAGAGAGAGAAACAGAGAGAATGAGAGAGAGAGAGAGAAAAGGAAATCACCTAATTTTTAAATCGAAAAATAACTTTCCAGATGAAAATCTTTGATTTTCTTCTAGGATTCTTTTTCGATGATTCCTTCTTAGAATATTTATATCCTTGCCTTTTTATGAGAAGAATGTATAAAGTGAAATTTTCTCCCCAAAGTTTACAGAGTCTTAATGATTTTTATATCATGACATTTATTTCTTTCCAACAGATGTTGGACCTGAGAGGAACTATCCATACTCCATGAGGAAAGCCTATTCCACAGCAGCTGTTTCCATGGCCAAGTCATACGTAGCTCCTCGGACAGAGACTGCCAAAATGTATGCTGTGGACACAAGGGTGTAAAGTGCCACACGTCAGTCTGCGTGTACGTTACTGAAATAATCAACCAATATGTTTGTGTTAATCCAGGAACACTTATTTTGACCTCACTATGTTCAACTAAATTAATTGCTCAGCTTAATCAAGAAGTTTGATTCTCCTATCCCTGCTCCTTTTCTGTCATTCTCATATTCTCCCTCCTCCTTTCCACCCTCCTCTTCCACATGCCCCCACGCACTTGCCCTGTATTTTTGGATAAGGTTGCTAGGGTATACAAATGTTTGTGATTTCTGTATTGCTGTTAGAGATTGTGACATGGTGATATTCAAGTAAAATGACACTTTAAGACTAGAAAGCAACCTTTGAAAGAGGCCAGGGATTCTAATCTTTGAAGGGATTGACAGCCTCTTAGCAAATTACCTGGCTTTTGGTTCATTCTTTGTGTTCTCATCTGAGTGAGTTATTTGATAACTTTCAAGAAGATGATTCTTTGAAATTTAAGCTAGTACATCAAACCTTACCATTACTCTGACCCTGTTAAAATAGAAAAAATAAAACAGCAGCTTCATATACCAGCCACTGGTGGAACTTAAAGATAAGAAGTTTCAAACTGAGGGTTGCTGGAGTGGTGGGGGGCGGGAGGGATGGGGTGGCTGCGTGATGGACATTGGGGAGGGTATGTGCTATGGTGAGTGCTGTGAATTGTGTAAGACTGATGAATCACAGAGCTGCACCCCTGAAACAAATAATACATTATATGTTAATAAAAAAATTTAAAAAAGATAAGAAGTTTCCCTTCCACACTTGGAATGTCAAAGGCAAATGCTAAATTAATACCAGAGCAGTGGTGACTTTCTTCCTCATTAGCAACATAAGAGATCTGTGTATTATTTTATCACTACTGTAATTTTGCCTATATATTGTCAAACTATTTGACCACAGCAACAATAGCTAAACCAGAGAGTTCATTCATTCATTCATTGGACATCCAAAAATGTTTCATGAATGCACTATATTAGAATTCACTGATTCAAGTGTCCTAACACCACTGGATCCTCATCACCCAGCAAAATACATGTGATAAAATTTAACAAATAGTTGCTGATTGGAAGAAATAAAAGCTCACAACTCTTTACTGAAAATAAGATGAATTGCTAATGGGATTTTATTCATATTCTAGTTTAATCATCTTAATTTTTTAAATGATAGGGCTTTTTAAAAAGTTACATAATTTAATCTCAGGTTTTCTGATTTCTTATAAATCGCATGAATAGCATGAATACTCTTGCAGTACCGTAACAGACTATCCACTGAACTGGAAATTAGTTCTTTCGAAAATAGAGATTTAGTTGTGAATTTCTGAAGACCCCCAAAAGAAGTGTTTTAAATTTAAAAAGTTAAAAATCATGTGAAAATGAGATGATGAAAACCTAATACATATATTTATGTTGTTGTGAATGGTGTTCATGACTTCACATGGTATCTCTTTATCAGTATTCTAAGGAGAAATTCTAAGCGAATCTTAGAATTAAAAGCAACTGATTTTTATTTCATGGATATTACTAACCATGTAATTGACATTTAAAAAATTATTTGTAGATCATGTTTACTCGTTATATTGGTGTTATTCTATGCAGTTTAAAACTTATTTCTTGTTGTTCCTTTTTTCACAACTTTGGTTTTTAAAATTTTTGCTCCTACTTTTATTTTATGACCTAATGTCTGTCATGTTTTATATATTCTAGTTAAGTCTCTTGAAATTCTTCTTGGGAAAGGCAGGGTAAAATTAATTAAATAACTCATTAGATTTTAGAGAGATAAATTTTTCCCTCCTTAAAGACTTCATTTGTATGAGGAAATATTTCAGAGGATTCTTGTGATAACTGACATCTATGAATGTTTTGAAATTTTTCTCAATAAAAATGTTTTATATATCCTGGGACATATATTAGTTTTTTTTAAATTTCTTTGGGAATGTTTATTCCTCATTCACTATTATTTAATGAAGCCTCCCAAAATAAAGCATAACAAAGAATATATTTTGTATACCAACTAAGGACAACAAAACAAATATTAAATAGTGAAGAAGTAATAATTGGCATCGTGGCAATTCAACATGCCCAGAAAGAAAAATTATGGAAGCCCAAAGTATACACACAAGATTATTAGGTTGAAATACTGAAATAGCCCGCTAACTTCTGGATACTAAAGTTTAGTCATATCTGGTTACTTACAACAAGAAAAAATAAAATTTATAAAATTGGACAATTGTATTTACCTATATCTCTTCATTAACTCCTATTTTCTAATATCACATTTTAATTGAAATTAATCTTTTGTTATTATAGATGGTATATATGTGCATTGTAGAAAGTCAGAGAACAAAAATAATAAAAAATGTATCTTCCATATTTTACAATATGGGCCCGTGTTCTCTCCACTGAGAGCATCACTGTTCCTAAAATCTCACTGAGTATCTGCATATCCTTCCAGATATTCTACATGTCTCCACATATATGCAAAGACATTCCCACATATGCATATATTTCTTTTTAAGGGATAATTTCATATATGTTGCTCTGTAAGCTACTTTTTTCCCCTGTAGTATCTCTGCTTTTTCATAGTAATAAATTTTCATTTTTATCTAATTCCCTATCCATATTGAAATTTCCCCAAGTTTTTCAAAGCTGGTTTGTCCAAACCAGAATCTGCATTTCCTTTGGTTGGTATGCCCTTAAGTCTCTCTGATTCAAGCCACATGTTTTTTTCACTAACCCTGAAAAAAAAAAAAAAAAAAAAACGGAACCAGTTTTCTTTAATTTTGTTCCACCTTTTGGATTTTTTTGATGTCAGTTAGCTTGTTTCTCTATGCCTTCTATTTCCAATAAGTTGAAATTTAAATCTGGAGACTTGATGTAATCAAGTTCAAAAGTTTCTAGAATATACTATGTGTTGTGATAGCATATCTGGAGACTTAATATCTGGTTGATTTAACCTCAGTTATGTTAAAATCATTCACTGGATGAGGATGATGGCCATCAATCCATCCGTTCTTCAGTTACATATATTTGTACTTTAGAGACAAAAACAAGGGATTATTATGGTGTTCTTCTGGAAACTGTAGGAATATTCTATTCTCCATCAACCATAATACTAATTTTAAAATAACACCTTTAACAATTGATAGTCCTTACCTGAATCAATAACTGGTGAGGGTTTGTAGAAAGATGATTTTCTAATTATAGTTTATTTACAACTGTAGTAGAAATTTATCCGTAGAATAAGCCTACTCTCTCCATCTGAGTCTGTGTAGTTACCATAACAAATCATGTCTCTCCTTTTGCTTAAATGTCTTTCTGTTGTTTCTAGGATAAAGTGACAAAAATTTTAACATGATTCTAGGCATAGTCAGTTGGGCACCTGAGCCTTGGTTTTGGCTCGGGTGATGGTTTCAGGGTTGTAAGATGAAGAAGGCCTGCCTTGGCTCTGTGCTCAGCTCTCCTCTCCCTCTGCCTGCCACTCTCCCTGCTTGTGCTCTCTCTCTCTCTCTCAAATAAATAAATAAATCTTAAAAATAATTAACAAGACTGCAAGCTCTAAACATTTTTTACTTTGTGTACTGCTTTATTCCCAGCACCCTGCACAGTGCCTGATGCATAGCAGGCCCTCAGTACGCATGTTTGAATAAATGAGTGAATGAATTGCAATCATACAGTGGCCTGCAAAAGCTAAGCATCCATTGCATGTGATTGATTTGTTGATTGGATTATTCTTACATTATTCATGCACATATTTGTGCAGTTTTATTAAAAGATCATCTGTGTGTTTTCAAGCATCCTCAAGCATAGAAGGGACAGAGACACAAACAACTAAAGTTAGTGTGCAATAAAATAATTGCTATAATTTGGTTATGTATGCACTGTCATAGGAAAAGCAGTCACTTCACCTGAGAGTAGGGGAGCCTTTGCAGAGGAGGGAGATTTTCAAAGAAAACAAGTTAGGAGAAAGTATTCTATACAGAGAACAACATGCACAGAGAAAGAATCAAGAGAAGGCAACTAATGTGCTAAAAATTACTAGCAGTTCCATGTTCCCAGAGCATAACTGGGAGAAAGAGGTGTGGGTTTTGTTTTGTTTTAAGATTTTATTTATTATTTATTTGACACAGAGAGAGAGAGAGAGAGAGCAGGAGCACAAGCAGGGGGAGCTGCAGAGGGAGGGGGAGAAGCAGACTCCCCACTGAGCAGGGAGCAGGAGCGGGGGCTCCATCCCATGACCTGAGCCCAAGGCAGACGTTTAACCAGCTGAGCCACCCAGGCATCCCGAGAAGGAGGTTTTGATATTCACAAATTATTTTAAAATGAAAAATAAGAGGAGATAGCATTTTCCCTCTTTCCAAGGTAAGAAAATTGAAGGGAAGGTATTTGCTAAAAACCCTCAATGCCATCATTAGAAATACAACCCAAGTCCAGAAGGTGCTAGTTTTATTTGGTCTGGCAACATCCTGGTTTCCCTAATGCAGCCAGCCTCTTTGAGGACTCCTCTATGCAGCAAAGTCTTATTAAGCCAGTTTTCACCATCACAGACATAATTCTGATTCCCAGTTAATCTTCCCATCATATCTTCTCCTCTACACTTTAATCTTCTTTCAAATCAATTGCTTTGTTTTTTCGGTTTTCTTTCTTTGTCTCAACGTTCTCCTGCTGGAGAGAATAGTTCCAATCTTATTTTAAAGGGATAAACTGAAAATTAGGTAGAAAAATATTTCTTGGAGTAAGTTCTGCAGTTTTTGAGCTTAGAAATAATTGTTCCCAAGTAAATAACGTTAGCCCCGATATGCAGTAATTAATTGAAAATAATATAATGCTCAATCCTATATTGGTTACCGTGTTTCCATTCAAAAAAAGCTGGTGACACTTTAAGTTTTTACTGAAATAATTTTATTTGTTTAAAATAAAAAGGGATAAGGACACAGACACACAAAAAACCCATGATTACTCCAGCACCTAGAAGAGAGTTAACATAGAGAAAATTATATATGCATAAGACTTTTCAGAAATTAACAGTACAGAAATGTAAATATGAATGTCCCTCTTACCCACCTCCATGGACTTCCCTTACAGTCTCTCTCCCAAGAGATGTACCTCTCACATATTTCTTGTATCCTTTCAAACAAACAAAAATTAAAATTTTTCGCATATATATATAGATCCTTTGAAAATGTATACAGCATACTGTTACTCGATATTTTCTCTTTAAAAATAAAATCAACAATTAAATATATTTATTGGCATTTTTCCATATCACCTCACTCATTTTAATGGCTTCATAATTCATTGTTCATATGAACCATTATTTATCCAATTTGTCCCTTTAAAAATCTTCATTTTTTCTATTATAAGTGATGTGGCAATGAATACTGTTTCAAAAACACCTTTGTCAAAACAAAAAAACAAACAAACAAAAAACACCTTTGTCTTCTTATAGGATTATAACTATAGCATTACTTTTTATGTCTAAAAGTAGAAATGCTGAATCTATGTGAATATATTAAATTT